CGGGGGGGGGGGGGGGGGGGGGGGGGGGGGGGGGTCGGGGGGGGCAAGCCGGTGGAGGGAGAGCGGGGGTGGGGGGTCTGGGGGGGCAAGCCAGTGGAGGGAGCGGGGGGGGGTCTGGGAGGGGCAAGCCGGTGGAGGGAGAGCCGCGGGGAGGCATGAGGTGTGTTCACGGGGACACGGGGACTGTAAGGAGCAATGCCCACAAAGCCACAGGCTGAGGGCTCGAGTCTCAGCTGTGGACTCTGGGGACGTGACCGGGAAGCTACAGATCATGTTACCCTGAGATTCAGGGTCAAGGCGGAGCATCACTGTGTCCCTCGGTCATGCGGGACCCCCCACCTGCGGCAGCCCGCACCTGACTGGTCCCACTCCAGGCAGGTGATGGCCTCGCTGTGCTGTGAGTTGACGGAGTGCACGTCCCAGGGGTGCTCCGTGTCCAGGATGTGGATCATGCGCGTGAGGTCTGCAGGGGACAGCACGGTCAGCACGGCAGCGAGCACAACCAGGGAGCTCCGGGGACCCTAGGAGGGCTCGGGAGGAAGCCAGGGACCACGCCGCCCACGGGGGAGTCAGGGGCATCTGCTGCTGACCACACAGACAGCCCTGGTGCTACAGAGAAACAGGCTTCTGTGCGCCTGTGTTCCCTGTGGAAACCAAAGCAGGCCTGTGACCTGGCCGCTGGTGTCGGGGTGTTTTTAAAAGAGACACCGAAAGGAGAACAGGGAGAAAATGATCCCTGAAAGCTAATGATGGGCATCGCTCCCTGTTTTTCCCCCTCGTTCTAAATTTCTCTGCTTTTCTGATTTTTCTTCTAACAAATGCTTGGTCTCCAAACACTGGAGGGGAAACAGGCTGCAGCCAGGTACCTTAGAGGCTTTCAAAAGGATGACAGTAACCTGGATGGTCTGGAAGTCTGAGTGGACCAGACACTGGCCATGTTCCGGCCCTCGGGGGTGATTCCAGCACCAGGTGTGGGAGAGCATGGCGCCTGGCCTTCACACACCTGTGAGGCCGGCGTCCTCACCACCCGTTGTGGGTGAGAAGACCCTGAGAGCGCCCACAGGGGTGAGGGGCGGCTTCCAGGCAGGCCGGGAGACCCAGAGTTCCCCCACAGGGACACACAGGGGCGGGGCCGGGGGGGGCGCGGATCCACACACCCTGATCGTCGTTTCGCAGGTCGGTGGTGAAGGCGATGAGGTTGCGGCAGGACCAGGCACAGGCCAGGGGCACCGAGGGGCAGTGGGTGCTCTTGGGCCATCTCTCCCACTCGCAGACGTAAGCCAGATCCATCGTGGCACGCACCACACCCTGGGACCGTCACCAACTCCTGAGGGAGGAGGAACCAGCTCGTCGTTGGCATCCGCCGGGCTCTACGCAGGACACTGGGTTACCACAGGGAATGAAAGGAACCCCACCGACTCCCTGCCCTTGGGTCTCCTGTGTTGTGTGAGTGAAGCTGCATTTTAAACACATGCGGGGGCGGGGGGGGGGGACAGGGAGGCCTCATCAGGAAGCCAGCATCTGAGCCTAGACGTGAGGGAGCAAGGCAACCGGATGTCCAGGGGAAGGTCACTGCAGGTGGAGGGAACAGCAAGCACAGAGGCCCAGAGGCCGGATGGAGCCTGGGGTGTTCAAGCAGGGAAGCAGCCCAGGCAGCTAGAGCCAATGAAGGGGGTGAAGGGAGAGGGGACCAGAGGGGATGAGGGTGGGTTCTGCGGGGCTGGAGACCTTCACCCTAGTGGGAGGGGAGCCCGTGGACAGCGCTGAACTATTCACACTGGAGCAAGACCCTCAGCTGTCTGGAGCGCACCACCAGGGGGTGGGGCAGAGGGGGTGCACCAGTCCCAGGAAGCGGTGACGAGGGCGCTGGAGCAGGAGTGGGCCTGGGTCCATCCTGGAGGAGGAGCCCCAGGTAAGCAAGAAGGGCAGAAAGCCGCGCCCAGCGCGGGACTGGCTGAGCCCCACGTTGACAGTGCTCTAGGCGCGGGCACCGAGTACAGCTTACTTCTTTCACAGGAGTCCAATCAGCGCCCTTTCTCGGAGTCACGACCCCCAGGTCCCGCTATGTCTTCGAGCCCCGACCAGGGACCTGACCGAGGAACCAAGGGCCCGTCCATAAGCCCCCCCGCAAATCTTTAAGTTCTGCCCCCAAACCCCGGGTTCCCACCCCCTACAATCTCCTTTCCAGAACCCCCTCTCAGGTTGCTCCCTGAGCCCCCAAGCCCGGCCTAAGCTCTCAGCCTCCATCCCAGGGACCCCAAACCCATCGCCGGCCAGGTCCTACGACCGTTCACGGGGCCCTCCCAGTCCCACCGCCAAATCTCCCATTATCCTCCAGCCCCGCCCCCAGGCCGAGCCCGACCCCCGGTTCGCCCCCCGGAAGTTTCCGCCACAACCCCCAGACCCCGCCCCGCGCCCCGCGCCCTCTGACCCAGCAGGCCCCGCCCCGGGCCCGCGGGTCCCCGCCTGCTCCGGGCTGCATTCCCCCGCCCCGGCTGGCTGTCCCCTGCGGGCCCCCCAGCCCCGCGCTCACCAGGCCGGCCCAGGCGCCAAGCCGAGCAGGCGGCCGCGGCCCGGAGTCGCCCTAGCCCCCCGGCGCCGGCGCCGCCATCTTCCCCGGGACCAACGAGGCGCGCGCGCAGCGCGGCCGCTTCCCGGAGGCTTCTGGGACGGCGGCGACTCCGCCCCGCTTCCGGGATATTTGCATACGATCCTTAATAGAGTCCCAGCAGCCACCTGAGTTATATTTGGTGGAACGATGAGCACTTTCTCAGCTTCAGTGAGCGGTCGTACTTGATTGCACTATACGTTTTGTGAACATAGGAAAGAGATGGATCACTAATGGATCACTAACTCCTTCTAAAAGAGTTCGCCCTTTCCTTAAAGCCATTTGCTCTGGACGCTATAAATGTCGCCCGGCCGAGCCTCCGGGCCGTGCTCGCTTCGGCAGCACATATACTAAAATTGGAACGATACAGAGAAGATTAGCATGGCCCCTGCGCAAGGATGACACGCAAATTCGTGAAGCGTTCCATATTTTGCTCCTGGACTCGACTTCCCGGGTGGCGGAAAGGGGGACACCGCGGGCCAAGGGACCCTGCCCCAGCTTCTAGGTGGCGGGTGGCGGGCCCGGGGCTCCGGCCACGTGGCCCCCCGCTGCCTGCAGGGTGGCCCCCGACGCCGAAGCGCGCAGACCGGGTTTCCGCTGAGCCGCCGGAGAGAAGGGACCAGGCGAACACACGGGCCTGGCTGGAGGCTCCTGGAGCTCAAACTGAAAACCCCACGACGGTGGGGGCGCCTCAGAGCCCCCAGGGCTGCGAGGGCCAAAGTGGACCGTGAGCAGGATCAATAATGCTGGGGTGGTGACCGAACTGGAAGGCGAATTCCCGTGTGACCCAAATGGCTGAATAAGCGAGCGCCTGCCGGAGGAGAGACGCCCGTCCCTGCGGATTTCTCAGCGATGGACACACCGTCCTCCGGGAGGAGGCTCCCGGCTCCCAGCCCTGGGGCCACACACGAGCGCCCTCCCGCCGGGAGGGCGAGGGAAGGAGACCCGCCCGCCCACGCGGCCGGGAGCCCAGGGTCAACGTCGGCAGTGCGGGGCCTCGTGGGCCGCGGGGCCCCGGGGTGACGGCAGGAGCAGCGCACCGCCCTCCGAGCCCGAGGCCTGGCTCCCGGCAGAGCTCCCGGCTGGCTTCGCGCTGCAGGACCCCCGGCCAGTCCCAGACACACACAGGGTGGCCACGGCCGAGGAATGCCAGGGACCCCAGAAGCTGGAGAGGCAAGAAGGACCGTCCCCCGGAGCTTCACGGCTCCCGCCGCAGCTTGGGTTTGGCCTTCTGGCTTCCAGGACTGGGAGACAAATTCCTGTGGTTTTAAGCCGCAGCTGGGGGCACTTTGTTTCGGCCACCCCAGGATGATCAAAAAGTGACTTTTTGGGTGGTGGGAAGCTGGGAAATGGCGGAGCTGGGGTTTGAAGCTGGACACCTGGGAAAGGCATGAGCCCGGCTCCAGAAGCGGTGGCCTGGGCGCTCCCAGCAGCACCTCCCGCCCCACTGTGAGGCCTCATCCCCAGAGGCCTGCAGCCCTCAGGACTCAGGCACATCCTGAGCACCCCCCCGTCCCCCCCCCCGGCCCTGTCCCCAAGGAAAACCCCACAGCTGGAGACCAGAGCACCAGAAATTTATTGAACTCTCCACTTTTCCCAAAGCACAAGTAGACACACACACACACACCCGGGAGGGGGTCCCTCAGCCCTGCTCTTGTGGGACATGCCCAGGTGGCCAGTGAGAGGTCACCCAAGGCAACAGGCCAGAGCTGGCTAGGGAAGGAGCAGGGGGACACGGACAGGAGGGAGCGGTCCTAGGGCAGAGGCTTCCGGCTGGAAGGCCTGGTCCCCCAGGATGAAAGGAGGAGGTACGTAGAGCAGATAGAGCCCCAAGCGCCACTGAAAGCCACCGGGCGGAGGACAACACCTGTTCCAAATCGGTGGCAAGGCCAGCCTTCAAGCAGCAGCCCCTGTCCTAGGCTGTAGGGCACACACACACACACATTCACGCGCGCAGCACAACACGCCTGGAAAAAAGGGCGAAGCCCCAGAGACCCCCCCCCCCACACACACACCCAAGTCAAACACTGGGCGGGGGCGGGGGGGCGGCAGGGACTGGAATAAAGTCCCATGATTTATCAGTTGGGGCAAGTTTTTGGTTTTTCTTCCCAAAGGGGAAATTTAAAAATCTACAACAAATCATGCCAAATTCATTAAAAGTTTTAAAAACCCAGCCTGTCACTCCTTGCTCAAGCTTCAGACGGGGCCGAAAAAGCTGAACGACGAAGGAACATGGTGGTGACCAGGCCGGGTCTCCTGGCTCAAATACCAGTCCTGGAGCGGGCAGGGGGTGGGGGGCAGGCCCCGCGACTGTCTGGGAGAGGCGAGGGGAAGGGGTCAGAGTGATAGCCACCCCAGGAGAAGAGAATGTCTACAGGTACAAATCCTCCAAATAATAAAGATACTTTAGCGAATGGCACGGGAGGTTTGGACGCAGGGAGGCGGAGGGGTGGGGGAGGGGGCGCCGGTGGGGGGGGCGGCCATCAGCTGCGTTGCTCTAGGTATGCAGACAGGAGCAGCCCCGGTGGCAGGAAGTCCAGGTGACGATTGCTGACTTTCATCTGCCTCTTGCCTTCCAGGTCGGCACCTGCGAGGGGAAGGGAGCGCAAGGGTGAAGGCGGTGTGGGGGAAGGGCACACGAGGTCACCGCCTCCATCCCTGCGCTGGGACCCGCTGCTTCCTCCGCATCAGGGCTTGGGTGGCCCAGCCCCCACCCGCCCCCTCTCCACTACCTCCCTTCGCTCCCGAGTCCGAACCAGCCATGCGCACCCCGGAGCTCATCCGTCTCCTCCCCTCCTCCCCAGCTTGCCAGGGCCCCTCCTCCTCCGTTCAGGGCAAGGCCCGACTCCTGCGAGGAAGCACCCCAGCCCAACCCCTCTGTCTATGGGAACAAAGGGGAGGTAGCTTGGGAGGGGCCGGCCTGGGGTTGCTATGGGAACCATCTCCTCAGCAACTCCTGGCAAATGAGCAAGAAGGCGGGGCACCCAGAGGCAGCAAGGGTCCTGAGGACCCTCCCTGGGGGGCTGTGTCCAGAGAACACCCCCGAGGTACAAGTGGAGACACAGGCCCCAGGAGCAGGACTTGCTGAAGTCACCTGGGTGGCACAGTGGAGGGGGGCTGCCTCTCATCTCCGGGTCCGCGGATGCCCACGCAGGCCCCTCTCTCCCTGTGGCCCTGAGGATGCAGACCGAGGGGCATCACCCTGCGTGGAGCCAGGTGCACAGGGAGCTTCCAACGAACTCGAACACAACCCTTTTCCCATGCTGCCCCTCCTCCTCCAGAAGCCCCTTCCCAGGACCCTGACCCTGTGGGGGACTCTGGCCTTGGTGTCCCTGGGGTGCATCGGCCAGGAGGGGCCCCGTGAGTCGGCAGCACTTACTGGCTGAGATGAGGTCCATGTACTGGCAGATGGCGTGAAGCAGGAGCCTCTCGAAACTGGAGAGGAACGGAAGGTAAGTGGTGGAGACCCAGAGCCAGTCCCTTCCGGGGCGCACTGGGCTCACCCCTGCCCTGTCACCTGTTGTCTAGCATGGCCGTGTACACAGCCTGGGGAGACACGGAGAAGAACCTCAGCAGCCGCTCCTCCCAGGTCTCCAGAGTTTCCTGCAGGGGAAACAGGTGTAGGGGTGAGCCCAAGTATGAGGCTGGGGCCGAGCTGTCCATGCCCCATGCCCAGGCCAGCCTCCGGAGCCCAAAGGCTGGGTTCAAATGTGGCCTTTGAAGCACTTCTACAAATGGAAAGTACCCTCCCACCCTACTTCTTTCTCAGGAGGCTGTCACTTTCTATGTTCAGTGATTACAAGCTGACATATATTTGCTTTTGTGTATATTTTTTAAAAATGATATGTGCATCCACACATGTATCTTTATGTGTTTCAAAGATACATATTTAAGAAATACAGGTACCTTGGAGACCTTCATAGCAGCACATAAAGCTGGCTCGTGCATTGTTACGATTGTACAATGTTCTGCAATGACCACTACCTGTGCTGCTGAGTATGTGTGTGTCTTATTCCCTGTATAGGTTTTAGCTTGCCTTTTATTTATTCTCTGTTTAAGCAAAGTTGGTTTTTAATTTTTGTCTTTGCAGAAAATTAGTTCTTGGGTTATTTTTTTCTTCTCCATTTGATTCACTTATTTGTGTTGTATTTATCTTTTCTCTTTCCTTAGGACTTTGAGTCAAATGTGTAGTTCATTTGTTTTCCTTCTTATTCTATTAACAGCGAAGGCATTTTCAGGTCTTGAAATTACCCCAGATGTTAAATGTGGACACCAGGCAGAGCGGTTTCCAGATAAAAGGAGCAAGATTACATGGGTCCTAAAGAGCAAACACGTGGAGGTCACAGAGAAGGTATTCTTGAATGGAGGTTGCACAGTAAGTTATTACACTCTGCTAGGCTGCATTCCTGCCAAAGCATGTTTTTATAGTCACTCAGGGTTCTAAGCTCTTGACCCACTCCCCAGGACATGAGCCTTTCGGAGTTCTTAACAGATAGCACTACATGTTTCAAGCCTGGCCTTGTCTTCATAGTCTCTTCTTTGAAGACATCCTCTTAGTTTTTGCAGTTTCTTCAACCATTTATTCACTCAGGAGTTTCCTGAGCTAGAGATGGAGTCATGGTCTTAGCAACTGGGGATATACATGGGAAACTGAAATAAAGAAGCCTGCTCGTATGTTTAATATTTGTTCTAGGTGTTCAATAAAAGTTGAAAAAGATAAGACCTGTTTTACTATATTTCTATACCTATGTGATCAAAGTTTTATTTAGAATTTACCTCTTGTATGACTATCTGGTATAAAAACAGGATGAGACATTTAAAACAAAGAAACAAACAAACAAACATGGCCTTTGACCTGCTGCATGGCGCTAGGTAGCCCCTTCCGAAGACACCAGGCACGGAGACGTCCCCGGGCTCCTGAACTCCTGCGCCTTCTGCCTGGCGAACTCCTACACATCCCGCATCACTGCCCCCGCCCCTCCCATCCTCGTGGAAGGCCCATTCCCAGCCCAGGTCCTGCATTCTGATCACACTGGCCTGTATACCACCTTGTCCCCAATACCACCTGCAGCGGGCCACAGACTACCCCTCACACCACCACCAGTTGAGAAAGTAAGAAATAAAAGGTAATCAAAAAAGAAAAAAACAAAACCAAAAAACAGGCAGGTGGAAGATGAGGTTTGGCCTGGTATTCACCATGGGGATGCGGCTCCGCTTGAGGACAGTTCTCAGACGTCGGCTGATGCGCTGGAAGCACTCACGGGGTGTGTAGGCTGGGTCCTCTGCAAGAGTTCTGGGCGTGGGGCAGCTGCCCGAGCAAGGCCCTGGCCGGCCCCATACACCGGCTTCGCCCCACCTGTCCCGGCCCCGCCCCCACACCAGGCTCCTCCTCCCTGGCCCCGCCCCACCTGTCCCGGCCCCGCCCCCACACCAGGCTCCTCCTCCCTGGCCCCGCCCACCTGGCCCCGGGCCCCGCCCCCACACCGGGCTCCTCCTCATCTCTCCTCGGGCCCCGCCCACACACCGGGTCCCACCCCTCTGTCCCCTGGTCCACACACCTGGTTCTTTCCCCTGTTCCGGGCCCCGCCCACCTGCCAGGCTCCTCCCCATCCCTGGCCCGCCTACACCCCGGCTCCAGCTCCTGTCCCGGGCACCGCCCACACGCCAAGCCCCGCCCCCTGTCCCGGGCACCGCCCACACGCCAAGCCACGCCACGCCCCCTGTCCCGGGCACCGCCCACACGCCAAGCCCCGCCCCCTGTCCCGGGCACCGCCCACACGTGAATCCGCTCGGTGTACGCCCTCCTTATCTCTGGTCCCCCCAGCCTCCCGTCCAGGCCCGCACCTCTCCTTCGATCCTCGCCGCGGCCAGGGCCCCTCCTCCGAGCCTTGCTCTTGCCCTCATCTTCCAGGTAGCGGAGAACCCGCTCCTGCTCCTCCCCAGAGCGGTTCATGAAGTCATTCCAGACCTAGGAGAGAGGCGCGCGGCACCTCGGCGTCTGCAGCCCGGCTTCTCCAGATGCACACAGAGGGCCACCAAGTGGGGACACACTCGCCCACTACAGGGTACCCTCAGACCCCCCCCCTCTGGCAGGACTGAGATGGACCAAATATGCCCCCAGTGGAGTCCTTCCTTCCCAGTGATGGGCAGATGAACCGGGAGTGCTGGAAAGTTCTGGGGCACAGTGGGAGTTCTGGCTTGGCCTGGGACCCCGAGGGAAACAGAGAGAGTGTCCGCCGAGGAACCAGAGGGGGATGGGTGCAGGTGGGTGCTCCTGACCAAGGGACCAGCACAGGCCATGTGTGGCAGTGGAAGTGGGAACAGAGAGGAGGCCGGTGTGGCCGGAGCAGAGGGAGGCAGCGAGGAGGGCACGGGGGCCCCACCTCCATGTAGGTCTCATTGCTGCAGGCCTCTGCGAAGACGCCGGGTGCTGCGGGGGGGGCCAGGTCCCCATCGTCCAGACCAGGTGTGCCCCCGTCTGTCTCCAGCAGGGTTAGGAGGTACTGGGCTAGATGGAAACAGACGGTCTCTGGGCTGGGGGGTGGCATTTGGGGCCCCCCAGTCTTAGAAACCCAAGGACCACGTTTCCTCCCCTGGCCTTTACGCTCCTGCTCACCCCGGTCTCCCCGCCTCCACGCTCCAGCTGTCTTTTCCAGAAGGCGCAGAAACCACTAGCCTCCACGTCTGGAACCCCTACTGCTCCCTGGCTAGTTGAACTCCTATACATCTTTTAAAACCTAAGCTCCAGTGCCCAGAGCTCATAGCCCAGAGCAAGCATTGCCGGCCTGGGGGTAGACTCACGGTGAAAGCACAGACATGCCACTCTCGCCTGGGCCCTAGGAACCCCCAGGAGGTACCCCAGCCTCTGCTCACTGTTCTCTAGACGCTGGAGGCTCTTCCGCCCCTTGGCCTTGGGCACGAGGTCTGAGTTCCGCACAGCCTGGTTGATAAAGTGTTGCTTCCGCTTGGATGCTGACAGCCTCTTCACCTGGGAGCCAGCTAGGGTGGCGGGCAGGCAGCCCGGAAGGGGCCTGTGGGCCGGGGTTGGAGTGGGGAGGCCGGCCTCAGGCCCAACACAGGCCAGGAGCCCCAGGCAGAGCCCCACCATGGCCACTCCTGCTTGGTTTCCCTCAGCAACGGGAGCCCTAGACCCTTAAAATCCCATTTTACTTCATGGTCCTATCACCCAGGAGGCAGATTAGTAAATGGGCTCGGAGAGGAGAAGACACTGGCCTGACTTCACACGTCGGGTAGGTGGCCAAGAAAGGTTCCCAGGCTTCCAGATCTTAACTGCAAGCTGGTGGGACCCAGAGTCTCCAGGATTTGAACACCGCCCTCCTCTGGGAGTTTCTCAAGAAAGAGATTTTCGTTCTGGGAATTTGTAAAGTTTATTTATTTAAGCAATCTCTATACCCAACGTGGGGCTTGAACTCACACCGCTGAGATCCAGAGTCACGTGTTCTTCCGACTGAGCCAGGCGGGTGTCCCATCAAAAGCCTTGATTTAATGGAGCATCCCCAGGCCAGCAGCAGAAAAACCAAGAAACAGCCCCCAGAAGCTCAAGGTGACGGCCTAGCCAATCTGCCTCACGTCCCTGGAGTCCCTCTGAAATGCGCCCCCCTCAGAACTAATCTGCTGTCCTCCAAGCAAATGGCATTAATGCAGAGATGGATTAGCAGCGTGACTAGGCCTCCCACGGGGGACCCACCCGCCAGCTGCAGACACAGGAGGAGGGGCGGGGGGGGGCGGGGCGCTAGATGGACACATCCTGGCGAGGAGTTCCGGCCTTCCGTGTCAGCCCCTCACCCCCCAGACCACAGAGGGGATGGTCCCCGCTGGGCCCCCAAACCCTCACGCTGCAGGGGCAGTGGTGGATTCTGACCCTCCCGAGTCCTAACTACCTCCCCCTGTAGACACAGGGCCTCCTCGCCACCCCTCCGGCAACATCACACACAGTCCCACCCGCAGGCCTGAGCCCCCCGCCCGGCGCATGCTCCCCCAGCCTGCGAATGGCTCACGCGCTCATCTCCTCTGGCTCTGCTCCAGCCCCCCGTCAGGGAGACCCTGGCCCCCATGTAACACGGCATTGCCTCGTTTCTCTGACCACTGTAGCTCGCCCACCTCGTCCGCTACACCTGAGTCCCCACGCAGACCCTCACCCACCACGCCTGGCGCCCAGCAGGTGGTCCGAAAACTGACTGCCAGACCAGTTCTCAAAAAAATCCCCCAATTCCCAGACTGAGTAGAACCCAGAGTCCAAAATGCGCCCCAAACTTTCCTGGTACCCAATGTTCCCAGGACACAAATTAAGAACAGAAGTGTAGCCTGTCCCCTCCAAGCCACCAGCAGGCTCTAGAAACCATGAAACTCCAGGACTGTGGTGGAGACAGGGTCAGGAACAGGCCAGCGCTCCTCGGGTCTACACAGGTACAAAGTGCGCCCAGCCTGAAGCACCTGTGCTCTACGGAATGGCCATTACACCTTGATCAAACCGCAGACAGGCGGACAGAGTCAGCACTCCGTGGGTAAGTTTCTGCCAAACCCCATGCTGCTGCCTGATGGATAAACACACACGCACACGTACCCATCCCCAGGAGCACACGGTAGAGGTACGGTTAGGGTCCTGGAATCTCAGCCCTGAGTTCGAATCCTGACTAGGGTGCTTCACTGTGGAACCCAGAGCCTTGGCTCACTCTCTGCAGAGTGAGAAGAGTGGATTGTTTGTGGGGCACCTGGATGGCTCAGTTGGTTAAGCATCTGACTCTTCATCTCGGCTCAGGCCCTGATCTCTGGGTATGAGTCAAGCCCCGTGTTGGGGCTTACATTAAAAAAAAAAAAAAAAAAAAAAAGCCTCTGAGTCTGAAGGGGGACACTCAGGGCCGCGAGGGGCCAGGGCAGACACCCTCCTCCATCAACCCAGCTGCAACTTGGTTTCTTCCTTTAATGGGGAGCTCACCCCTCCTCCTCACTGTTGTGAATATTCATTTTCACCATCACTAGCGTGCAGGAGGCTCGTGATATTATGTTGAGGCCCACGACACAAATTTGCAACTGAGGCACAAAGTCACTATCTCAAGAGCCCACAGTTTCGAAGAAGGCAGACGACACAGGGAGAGGTAAATCAAGTTGGCACAGAGCCAATGACCGTAAGGCTGGATCCAAGCTGAGAGCTGCCTCCCTGAGGCCCACCCCCGGCCCCAGGTCACCCGTGGCCTCCCCAGGGCCCCCGTGCCCACGTCTCCACCTTGGCAGCTGGACAGAGTCCAGAACGGCAGGCTGGTGGGACCGATAACAGCGTCCGCATCCGGGGGGACTTATCAGGAGGCGTCAGAGCAGGGCCCAGCCCTCAGGACGCGGGGCTCCGAGAAGTGGGGCTTCCCCGTCACCCCATGAGAGTGGCAGGACTGGAACCTGGTCTGAACAGGAGCGCCCCCGCTTGAACCATTCAGCCTCCTGCTTCCCTCGGGGCCCCTCAGACTCCCCCCCCCCCGTTAAGACCCATCTGGGTCCTCCCCTGCTCCATCACCATGCATGGCTCCCCAGGACCCTCAGGGCAGGGCCCAGTTCCATCTTGGCCTGGCATCGGAAGCCCTGCCCTGCGCCAGGACCACAGGGGCCTGTCCTTGGCCACAGAGGCTTCTGGAGGCTCGCCGCCCTCCCGTGGGCCTCCTGCGCCCAGTTGAGCACTGGAAACTGAGTCTGCCACCAACTCGAGCTTGCGGACCTCAACCAAACTCCAGCAGGAGACAAGGAACATGTGGCCTCTAGGGCCAAGAACAAGGCCCGGATCCCCACTCAGGAAGGAGCGGACAGACAGCCGGCCCGGGCGGGGCGGGAACGGCAGCCCCCAGGCACCCAGCAAAGCAGATCTGTGACTGTGACGGAGGCCGGGGGGAGGGGCACGTGGGAGCATAAAGGTGTCTACGCATCAGAAGTCAGTGCCTCGCCCGTCCCCTCTCCCTCACCTCCTCTGCTCCAGACCCAGGGGCCCCGTCACCCTGCCTCACCTGCGCCGTCCCCAACCCACTGGCCCACCTACCCACTCACTGCTTACCCCGCACTTCCCGCAGCAACACCATGGGGTCGCCCTGTGTCCCCAGCACCTGCTTGGCACCACCTCACAGACGGGAAACCGGGGACCCAGACGGGGTGGCTCAGGCTTCCCATACCCGACGGGCCTCCGGGAAGGTGAAAGCTGCCTGTGTCCAGAGAAGGTGGACAGGCCCAAGGTAGAAACAGCTGTTAGGTCTTGGGGGAGACCAGCCTCCCCCGTCTCCCCCGGTTCTGTCCCTACAGGGTCTGAAACGGGGCCTCCTGACAGCTGCTCTCCTGGGCCACAGCGACCTTCTCCGGCACCAGCCCCCTCCCCCAGGAGCAAGCAAGAGAGGAACCCAGCTCCGAAGCAGGAAACCAAGGGGGGAGGGCCCCAGCCGAGGTGACTCAGGCTGGGGCGGGCCGGGGCCCCAGCAGCGGCCACACCCTGGGGGACACACGGGGGCGCATCAGTGGCGCCCACCTGGCAGGCGACTGCCCACTGCTGGGTGGGTAAGTCCCCTTCAAAGGTCAGCACCCACACCTGTGGAGGCCCACATGGCGTCTGGGCAGCCCTGGGGGCAATCATGACACCACCCTGAGGTGAGAACAAGCACCAGAACCAAGCAGGAACGACACGGAATAACACGGGATGGATGTGCCCCTTTGCTGGGCACCTCTGAGGGCAGGGTCACTGACACCCCCCCCCCCCCGCCACCTAGTCCCAAGCACTCTGCAGAGAGGCCGCTGGTAATCTCATTGCACAGATGGGGAAACTGAGGCACAGAAGCTGGAGGGACCCGCCCAGGCGGCTCATCAGCACACAGCGGGCCAAGTCCTTGCCCCCACACACCAGGACCACAGGGCGACAGCGCGACTCTCTGCGTAAACACCCTGGTTACACAGGAATCGGCCCGGGCGCCTGGGTCCACACCTGTGCGGCGGCTCCACCCTCCCGGCTCCTGCTGACCGGGTGTTGAGGCATAAGGTCCCACGTATGAACAAAGGGGCCCGCGTACTCGGGGTGGAGGGCTGAAAGCCTGGCCCGGGGGCACAGGACCGGCCGCGGGGTTCACACCCTGCGTGGCTAAGTGCCCCGAACACCACCGAGACGGATTGCGGGGACTCGGCCCGCAGCCGCAGCACCTCCCCGGGGCGGGCGGCCAGGCGCACGACACCCCGACGGGAGACAATACCGGGGCACGGGGGTGGGGGAGCACTTCTGGGCCCCGGGGCGACGCACACGCAGAAGCCGGGTGCCTCGCTCCGCCCAGCGCGGACGCGGGCCCGGCAGGGACGGGATGTCCCCGGGCGGCGACAAAGCCCTCTGCCCCGGCCCCCACCCCGGTCTGGGGTAACCCCAAGGAAAAGGGGCGGGTCGGGTCTGGGGCTGCAGCGGGACCCAAGGGGAGAGAGGAGGGGAGGGGGCCCCGGAGTCCTGGAGGGCGCGCCCCGCCCGCCCCGCCGCGCTCACAGCGTCCGCCGCCCGCCGGGGGCGCTTCCCACCGCCGCCACCGCCTCCTCCGAGCCGCCCTCCGGGTTCTCCAGCGCGACCATGGCTCGGGCGCTGAAGTCGCCGCCGCCCGGCGGGGCCTTCTCGGGCCGAGCAGGAAGTGACGGGCGCCCGGAGGCGGGCCGGGGCGGGGCCTGGCGGCTGGACGCGCGGGGCGGGGACCGAGGCCACGGTGCCCGCTGGCTCCCGGGCTGCGGGTGTAGGATGGGGGTCACCCAGCCCCCGGGGACAGACGGGGAGACCGAGCGGGCCGGCAGCGAGATCCCCGCCCCTGAAGCCTGGCTGCGGCGGACCCGGCACCCAGCCTCCAGTGGATGGTCGGGGAAACTGAGGCCTGGGTAGCTAGGAAAGAGGGGGACATGCATTCCAGAGGCAGGAGACAGATGAAATGACCCAAGCGCACCCCCGGCCCCAGCCCCCAGCACCAACATCCTCCAGACTCTCCCAGGACTGTTTCAGTACAGCCCCTGGAGCCCGGACTCGATTTACTCATTTCTAAAAATGGGCATTAAAAAAAAATTATATATATATAATTATATATATAAGGGAGGCGCCTGAGTGGCTCGGGTCATGAGCTCACAGTCAGTCTGTGAATACGACCCCTACATCAGGCTCAGTGCTGACAGCTGGAGCCTGGAGCCTGCTTGGGATTCTGCATCTCCCTCTCTCTCTTCCCCTCCCCTGCTTGCGCTGTCTCTCTCTCTGTCTCTCAAAAATAAGCAAACATTAAAAAAATCTTTTATTTAAATAGGACATCAGTTCCCACCCCCTTTCACCTCTAAGGATTTGTTCCTTTAACGCATGTCCACTGTCAGCAGGGCCCAGTGATGGGGCCTGGGGAGGCAGCAGTGGCCAGGACAGGTCCCTTCCCCACGGAGTGGGGCAAGAGAGAGGAGCTCCCCGAGAGAGGGACTGGCAGGCTGCAAGGCGGGAAGTGTGTGCCAGGCAGAGAGGACAGCCAGTGCAAAGGCCCTGAGGTCCCCAGAGTGACCAGAGCAGGGAGATGAGTGAGCATGAGGGGGATGGAGGCCCAGGGCCAGGCGTGCACCCGTGAGGCGGGCGGTCCTGTGATGGCAGGTCTGGTGTTTGTTCAGAGGCAACGGGGAGCTGCGGGAGGGTTGGGAGCAGAGAATCAAACTTACTGTGGAATCTCGGATCCACCCTTCAGTCTACAAGAAGAGTGAGAACCGGGGCCACGTGAAGACACCCCGGGAGACAGCCGCCGCATACAGCCTGTTGGAAACTGCGCAGGACAAATGACCCTATCGCTTTATTTTTTTTTTTTTTTTTTTTTTTTATGTTTTATTTATTTCTAGGAGAGAGAGAGAGACAGCGTGAGCAGGGGAGGGTCAGAGAGAGGGAGACACAGACTCTGAAACAGGCTCCAGGCTCTGAGCTGGCAGTCAGCACAGAGCCCGATGCGGGGCTCGAACCCACGAACCGCGAGATCATGACCCAAGCGAAAGTCGGACGCTCAACCGACTAAGCCACCCAGGCGCCCCATGACCCTATCGCTTTAACACGTACAGAGCAACAGGGCTGGGAGGGGGGCTGGTAAGACCCCCAAAAGCACGTACTGTGTGACGTCATATGGATAAATGTGAAGACAGGCGAAAGGAATCAAAGGGGATACAAATCCAGAGAGAAGGCACCGGGGGCCACCAGCGGGGGGTTCTGGGGGTCAGGGGGGCCTCGGCTCCAGCTCCTGCCCCAGGACTAACTGCTCAATACATCTGCAAATTCTAGAGCGTGCGGCCCGGGGCCTCCCCCTCGTTCTGGGGTCCCATTCCTGGGGAACCTGGGTGGTACCCTCCTGACACCCGCCTGGGCCCTCGGCGGGCCCAGAAGCTGCCCCCCCCCAGCCCTCACCTCCAAGGTCCCGCCACCTGCCAGGTGCCCCCGACAGTTCCTCCGTCCTAGTAACGTGTCTGCTCCTCCCTCCCGCCCCACGGAATCTGTCTTCCTCTGCTGAGTGTCCAGGCCACTGTCAGGAATCATCCTGAAGACAGAAAGCAGGCGAACAGGGAGGGCGCCCCGTCCCAGGCTGTGTGCGCCCCCGCCTGGAGGCGTCTGCCTGGGTTCAAGGCTCTGTGTGCGGCCTGCGTCTTCTCCCCCCGCCCCCTCTGGCATGGCACTCCGAGATGGCCTGGACAACCCGGCACACAGCGGCATGCCCCGCGGGTAGTATCTGGGGTACACTCCTGGGTGCCCGTGTCCTTGCAAACTGCCCACGCCCCCAGTGCCAGGGTCGGCCCGGCTGACAGCAGCGGGGTCCCAGCAGGCCGCATTCTTAAAGGACAAGTATCTTCTAGGAGCGCCTGGCGGCTCAGTGGGTTAAGCCAGAGACTTTGGCTCCGTCATGATCTCACAGTTCGCGGGTTCGAGCCCTACATCCGGCTCTGTGCTGACAGCTCGGGGCCTGGATCCTGCTTCAGACTCTCTCTCTCTGCCCCTCCCCTGCTCCTGCTCTGTCTCTCTCAAAAATAAATAAACATTAAAAGAATATATTAAAAAGACCAGGGATCTTCCAACCGCCAGGTCCCTGGCGGCCATGCCCTGCTTTGGGCCGTCTATGGCTCTCCAGTGCCCCTTCTCGAAGCCTCTGACGGGGGCTGGCCTCCCCGCCAGCCAGGGCTCCCCCACCTGGAGCGGCAGCCACACGGAAGGCCAAGGCCGAAGTCAGGGCGGCTAACAGGTGCCTTCTCTGGTGTCTGTGATTTTGTCCCCGCCGCTTGCCCTTCCTGAGTCTCACCCCCGCCCCTGGCTAGGATCGCCCCTCGAGGGTCCACAGCAGCCTCCACGCGGCCTCCCTCTCCCCCCACTCCCTGGCCCCCCAAGCCCCACCTCTCGGGCGGACTGTGCCGGGAGAGCAGGGAAAGGGGGAGAAGGGCGCGGTGCGCGCGGGCGGAGGGCGCGCGGGCAGGAGGGGCGTGGCCGGCGGCTGCGGGAGCGGCGCGAAGGCGGGGACCCCGGGGTTGGGGGGGGGGCGCAGGGTATAAAGTCGCGGCTGCAGCGTCCGGAGCAGTGAAGCCGCCCAGCCCGGCCCAGTCGTCTTCCAGGTCACACGTCCCCAGCGGGCAGCGAGGAAGAGGGTCGCCGCCGAGACCCCAGGGCTCAATCCGGTGCGCGGCCGGGGGAAGGGGGCGGCAGAGTCATGCGCGCCGTGGCCCCGTCGGCGCCCAGCGCGTCCTGGGGGGCGCCGGTCAACGCCACGGGCTGCCCGGGCTGCGGCGCCAACGCCTCGGACGGCCCGGGCCCCGCGCCGCGGCCCGTGGACGCCTGGCTGGTGCCGCTCTTGTTCGCCGCGCTGCTGCTGCTGGGCCTGGCGGGGAACTCGCTCGTCATGTTCGTCATCTGCCGCCACAAGCAGATGCGGACGGTGACCAACTTCTACATAGGTGAGCGGCGGGGCGGGGCGCGGCGGGGCGCCTCGAGGGCAGGGGGCCGGGGGCCGGGGGCCTCCGAGCGCGCGCGCGCCCTGCTCTCCCAGACGCGACCCTCCCCGGTGCAGGGAGCGGCTCCCGTCCCTCCTGTCCGTGAATCCTGGGCTAGAGGTCGAGAGCTCCGCGGAGTGGCTCCGGGGGAGGCTGGACCAGGCGCACGGAGAGCTCGGCCCCGCCCCTGAGGAAGGGGTCTGAGTAAAACCCCAAGTCCTGTGACCGAAAGTCGGGCGGCGGCTGCCAGGCCCGCGGGATCCCGGGTTGCGCCAGCGAACGGCTCACACCCTCGTGCGCGGGCTGGCCTCCCGGCGCAGTGAGCGTTCAGGTGTCTCTGATCTGTGCTGGCGGTCGGGCTACACCGCGGTCCCCCGCTGGCAGACGGGGACCCAAGGTCAGAGCCCGCCCAGGCTGTCCCGGCCGGACAGGGGCGAGCAGGAGCCCGTACTGAGGGGATGTTTGACATGGAAAAGTGGGGGCCTGCTGGGTGCCCCAACTTCTCAGCCAAAGGACGTCAGAGGGTTTTCCTAGCGCTCCTGCGGGTTACTCGGAGCGGCGGGGGCCTGGACTGGGCTGTGGGTGGATGAGGCCCCCGCGTGTCCCCCGCCTGCAGCCAACTTGGCGGCCACGGACGTGACGTTCCTGTTGTGCTGCGTGCCCTTCACGGCGCTGCTCTACCCGCTGCCCGCCTGGGTGCTCGGCGAGTTCATGTGCAAGTTCGTCAACTACGTGCAGCAGGTGCGCGGGCTGGGGGCGGGGCGGGGAGTGGGCGGAGCCTGGGGGCGGGGGCCGGGGGAGTGGGCGGGGCCTGGGGGCGGGGCCGGGAGTGGGCGGAGGCTGGGGCGGGGCGGGGGGGGGGCGGAGCGTGGGGGCGGGGCCGGCGGGAGGGCGGGGCCTGGGAGGCGGGGCGGGAGGGGGCGGGGCGGGGCGGGGCCTGGCCTGGGGCGGGGAAGGAGGACTCCGTAAACGCGAGAGCTGCAGACCCGGACCCGGCTGTGGCGGTGGGCATAGACTGCGCCCTCCCGCCCTGCGCCTTCCTGCCCCGCCTGCCCGCCAGCCTAGGATGGCTCTGCTTCCGCCTGTCTCAGCCGACCCCTAACGGCCCCGTGAGGCCTTCATCATCCTGGGGTCCTCTCTGGTATCCCCCTCTTCTCCCCCTCAGCCTGGGGCCCCTGGAGACCCTCCACGACATGGCCCGTTTGTGCCTGGGTGTTTGGACACGTGGGGGGACCCGCAGGGTGGGCGCAGACGGGGCCCCACGCCGCACGCGGGGGGAAACGCCCGCTCTCGGCCCCCCCAGGTCTCGGTGCAGGCCACGTGCGCCACCCTGACGGCCATGAGCGTGGACCGCTGGTACGTGACCGTGTTCCCACTGCGCGCCCTGCACCGCCGCACACCGCGCCTGGCGCTGGCGGTCAGCCTCGGCATCTGGGTGGGTGAGTGCTGCGCCAGGGCCGCACGGGGTGGGGGGGGGACAGCCGAGTCCTCGGGCCTTGCCCCCCGCCCCCCCCCCCGCCCTTCACTGGGCTTCGGCCTCACGTACACCTGGGAAATGGGCGCAGTGGCGCTCCCTCCGAAGAGCCCCTGAAGGCGCGGACTGGGCGGCCCGCGCTTACGAGGCTCCCAGTGACGCTCCCGAGACGGCACCTGCGGGGACCAGGGTGCCGACAGGGGCTTCAGCCCGTCCTGTGGCGCAGGCTCGGCGGCCGTGTCCGCACCGGTGCTCGCGGTGCACCGCCTCTCGCCCGGGCCGCGCCCCTACTGCAGCGAGGCCTTCCCCAGCCGCGCCCTGGAGCGCGCCTTCGCGGTCTACAACCTGCTGGCGCTCTACCTGCTGCCGCTGGTCGCCAGCTGCGCCTGCTACGGGGCCATGCTGCGCCACCTGGGCCGCGCCGCGGCCGCCCACGGCGCCCTGCAGGTGTGCGCTTGGCCGGGCGGGGGGAGCGCAGTGGGGGGCGCACGGTGGGAGCGTGGGGGTGGCAAAGTGGGGGCGCGCAAGGGTCAAGAAGGGGAGCTCTGGGGGCGCCCGGCCGCCTCGGTGAGTAGAGCTTGCGCTCTTGACCACGGGGTCGCGAGTTCGGGCCCCACGTTGGGCCACGGAGATCACCTTAGAAGTAAACACGGAGGGGGCCCCGGAGCCCTCCCTCCAGCCGCTCCCTCCACTCGCAGGGGCAGCTGCTGGCGGAGCGGGCGGGCGCCGTGCGGGCCAGGGTCTCGCGGCTGGTGGCGGCCGTGGTCCTGCTCTTCGCTGCCTGCTGGGGCCCCATCCAGCTGTTCCTGGTGCTGCAGGCGCTGGGCCCCGCCGGCGCCTGGCACCCACGCAGCTACACGGCTTATGCGCTCAAGATCTGGGCGCACTGCATGTCCTACAGCAACTCGGCGCTGAACCCGCTGCTCTACGCGTTCCTGGGCTCGCACTTCCGCCGGGCCTTCCGCGGGGTGTGCCCCTGCGCCCCCCCGCGGCCCTGCCAGCGCCGGGGCTCTGGGCTCCCGGGCCCCGCCGCCCCCTCCACGGAGCTGCGCCGCCTGGCCGCCCACCCCGCCGCCGCCAGGACCCCGAGGCCAGGGAGCGGTGCGCGCGCCCTCAGGGAGCACGCAGGCTGTGTGTCCTGAGGGGGGTGCTGCCCGTCTCTGGGCCGCTTCTGCGGGGACAGAGCTGGGCCCCTCGGGGACAGGTGCTGTTTGAACAGCAGCTGCTACTATGTGGTTATTAATATCTTTGTTTCTGTGCAAGATAATCATAGTGAAAACGTTCTGTCCCCCTGTGTCCCCTTTGCTGGCTGTTTGCTGCCACTGGTGCCGTAATTACTGATTTCCGAGTTTCCTGAAACTGAAGACCTTTGGCACCGCAACTTCTGGAATTTCGCCCCGAAGCATCGACAGGCATTTTTCACACACCGCCTTGCAAATGTAGCGTCGTAAGCCGCATCCCATTTTCAGAACTACTGAAATGTGAACACTGCTGAAATAAAGTAGTATTACTCTCGCCTGGCGAGTGTCCAGCGTCCTGGCTGCGGACGTGGGGGGGGGTCACGGAGGGAGGGGGCCCCCCAGCACAGGGCCCAGAGCTGCTCCTGGGAGACGCCGGCTGGACGGCCCCTCGAGACAGCGCCCCACAGTGGAGGGAGGCGGAAGAGCAGCAGGGTGTCCTTCCCGGGGCGCCGGGCGCGACCGGCTCACCTGGCAGCCGGGCCAGGAAGGCCCCAGCAGGCTTTGCGTGCCCGCTGTGGCTGCTGGGGCTTCCTCCCGGCCCGGGGCTCCGGGCAAAGCCGGGCTCGTCCCGTGCGAGAGGCGCCAGGAAGAGGCTCGAGGCCGGGACTCAGGCCGCGCCCGCTGCTTTGCACACGAGCTGCCGGCGGCCCGCAGAGCCTCGCCCATCCCGGGGCCTGCAGGCTGCTGCGGCCTCCCCCCGACGGCCTGCGGGCCCAGCTTCGTCCCTCCCGGGCTCCCGGGCTCCCACCGCACCTGGGAACATCAGGGACCTGCGAGCCCAGCTTAGCAGAGGTGTGGTGAGACCCTGGCCTGAAGCTCGCTTGTCCCTGGCCTCAACAGCGGCCTCCAGACCCCGCAGGACAAGAGGGTGAACTGCTCCCGCTTCGCCCACAGGCCCTGCCGCCCCGCCCACCCCTACCCTGCACACGCAGGTCTCACAGCTGCTCGAACTGCTGCCACCCCTCTGGCCTCTGGGCCTTTGCACATGCAGCGCCGTCTGTTGTGCCAGCTGTGCCTCACTCATCCGTCAAGCCGCAGCTCAGCTGGCTCCTCCTCCGGGAAGCCTGCACTCTGCCCCGCGCTGCCCCCATCACAGCTCTGACTTCCTTGTGTTGTACCCGCTGTCCGCCTGTCTGACCCCCACATGTGCCCAGCGCCCAGCGCACGGCCGGGCTGGTTAAATATTTGCGGGGTGAGTGACCAGGTGTGTCGTGGGGGTTAAGAGCGGAGGTGTGTGCGGACAGCGTGGCACGCTTTCTGCAGGAAAAATGGATTTTTAGAAAAGAAGGTGAAGGGGGCTCCGGGCATGCACGTCAGAGAGAGAAAAACTCCCAGACAGAAACCTGCACACGCAGCTCCCAGCAGCTCCGCCCGCCGCAGCCGACCCCGGAAACAACTCAGGTGCCCTTCCACGCACACGCGGGTGACACGCCGCCCCCAGCCCCGCCCCCGGACACAACCCGGCAGTAAACGGTTGTGGGCACGCGGGGTGGACACGGGGCCCCTCAGATGGATCTCCCAGAATCACGCGGAGCAAAATGAGGCACCCCCCGCGGGACACGTGACCGTGGCTCCGCTCACAGCGCCTTGAGGAGGGAACGTTATGGGAACGGAGCGGAGACTGGTGGTTGCCGGGTGAGGGTGGCAGGCGTGGCGAGCCACGTGGCCCGGCAGCAGGAGGGACCCTGGTGAGGGAACGCTTCTGTCCCATAATGGGCACATCCAAAGAAGGTGGGTGGATCGCACCCGTGTCAAAATCCTGGTTGTGCTACTGTACGATTTTGCAGAACGTCGCTGTCGGGGGGGGGGGGG